TCCCTAGAGGCAGTCTTTGTTTACAGCTTTAATAGCGAGAAAATGTGAGTTTTCTGACCATCCTCACACTTTATGGCACATTTTTCAAGCTGTTATAATGAAGAAGCACTAACAACAAAGTTATTACTTAGTCCACAAGCAAAATTTCTCTTCTTGGCAGCTCTTGGCATAAAGGTATTTCAGAAAGTGTCTTAATATTCTGCAAACAAATCAATTATTTATAATTGTCTTGTCTTTAGATGTGAATTAAAGTAGTGGTCTTTTTTACAGTGTTGAAAGGAAGCAGAATGGTTTAATTGAAGTAAATGAAATCTACATGACCACCTGTTTTGTTTGGGTTTTTTTTTAAACCTTATAGGAAATCAATGTATTGACAGTAGCACTGGTCAACCAAGACAGAGAAAAGAATTCAGAGAAACGAAGCCCGGGTTTAAAATCAGAGAAAGAGGCACTATTAATAGGTAAGATAACCTCAAAAAAGAATTTTGAGAACAAAATGCCTTTTAATAAGTTTCTCATTTGCATGTGTGTTTACATGCATCTTTATGCTAATAAAAGTGGAAAAAAGATATTTTTTAATATTCATCTGTATTCATAATGGCTTTTAGTATGAGAAATCCCAAAATACAAGTGAACTGTTCAGTTCTGAAAAATTCTGTAGTTTAAAGAAAGGATGTCAGGTAGGAAGAAAACTGCAGGATCTGCATTTAGGTTTGCAGCATGAATGTATGAAGACTTTATTTACATCAAGATTAGCAGGGTAGACTTGTATAACATATTATCTGATTATTAGACAAAATGGTGAAGAAGAAGGGAATAGAAATAATATTAATAAACTACCAAGCAAAAATTATGTATACTGGATGTATTAAGCAAGCCAGATTTATGCGTTTGACATGAAGAGTGCATAAAAGCTAAAAGCTTATAGGCAGTGGGCCAGCGAACTGCTACCTGGCATTTAGCCACACAGGAATGCTGCCTGTACCCATGATATCCTTGGAGGGAACATGCCCCATTGATATCCATGCATATCTTGCGTTTGGTTTCAGTGGGTTTTAGTGGGCTTGGTTTCAGTTTGGCTTTCATAGAGCCTGAAGTCCCACGGTCCAAAGTGCTCCTTATGGCATGGTTGCAGTTCACAGGAATGCTGACCTGAAAAAACAGGTTTCATTTCTATGGTTTGGTCTTTTCACAAAATCAGCAGTATCCTGGTAGGTGATAGTTCCAGAACTACCTCAGTTTGTTTAGATGCAACTCATTTGCATCTGTTAAGCACCAGGAAAGTAGCTGGCTTATTGCTGGGTCAGGGATTCAGACAGTTCAGACCAAAAAAGGTCATTTCAAAGTGAAGAAAGTATTTAAATGTTTAAAAGTACACAAACTTGTGTGACTGGTGAGATGTGGAACAGTGGGACATACAGAAATGCATGAATTGATTTTATTTTGCTTGTTATAATAAAATGTGGAACTTTGAATTGCAGTGTTTGATCTTTTCAAAGATAACTTCTGTGAGAAGGGTAGGAAGGGTGGGATTTTAAGAACAGAATAACAAACTTTTTTTCTGGGTCACTCGTTATTTCACTGTGACAAGTGGTGGCAGTGTCCCAAAGTGGGTTCCATCCACCAGCTGTTCAGTGGCACACTCAGATAAACAGTCTAATCTCAGTCCAGGTATTACTGGTCATAATACCCCCACAACTGGCTTATTGTTACAGTTGAAAGGCAAAAGATTTCTCAAGATGGATTTCATGTTATCTTTTCCTCTGAAGCATGTTCAGGTGTGGCAAGGAAAAAATGAGCCTTGCCTCCATCCATTTGCTACATTTGTCTATATTTTACAAAATTCGATATTGCGTTAGAGGAAAAGAGCTCAAAAGGAAAACAGTTAATAAAAAGTTATCATGGAATTCCAGTCAAAAACTACAAAATATTTTCAAATTATTTTTTATTTACATTATATGAAAGAGCTAGCTTTGAACATCCTGAATTGAAAAGCCTTGGGAATACACATAACAAACGCAATGCCACTGGTAAAATGTGATTTGAATACAAATTGGATTTCCAGTCAACCCATCCAAGTGTGATGGTCTTGGCTTTTGCTTCAAGAGCTCTTGTGTGCATGCTTATATCACAGCACAAACAAAGCAACTGCTGCTAGGACTTGCCATGGTATAAAATTAAAAACATGCCACTCCCTTTGCAGGATCAGAAGTTTGTACATGCTATTAGAAAAACGAAGGAGGAAAAAAGGTGCTCTTTGCAAAGATAGTCTAAAATGAGTTAAATTTTCCTAATCATTTTCACCTATGGCCAGTATTTGAGGGAAAATGAAATCCAAGATTATCCTAATTCATTCAGCACCAAGAAAGCAGTATGGCCTGCAGTACACAAGATAGAGTGACCCATTTTTGTCATTTGTAAGCATTTTTAATCCTGGTGTTTATGCTTTAAATATAAGGAACTTCCCCTAGGGTGGTTTAGCTAAGAAACCCATCCAAACAGAGTTGAAAATATTTGGTCTGATTCTTACAGTTTAACTCTCCCCAGACAGTAAGTAATACACATGCCATTTTGTATTTTCATTCTTTGTTTAGAAGAGAAGAAATTGGATAGTGCTTTTAATAGCAATTATTATGCCCCAAATCTTGTTTTCTCTGGTCATCATTCCTATACTGTCACTACATTTTCACTGCAGAAAAAATCCCTGGACTTAGATCCTCACTTCCTTTAAGCCACTTTTATTCCTGTGCCTTTTACAACGACACTGTAAATAACAGTGAAGATAGACATAACTGGCTGTCTTTTAAAAGAAAGTAAATACGTAAATATGTCATGAAGAATTTGTGTTTTCTTCAGCAGCAGTTAGGGTAATACGGATTAAACACTTTTCATAACCAGCAGCAGCGTAATTACTAGAAAAAATTGAGGGAGTGAGGTTTCTGACACAATTATATGAAACGTTTTCACAACAGAACATCCAGTGAAGGGGAAAAAAGCAATAATTTTACCATTACAATATCCACAATTTTATATTGGTAAATCAAGCATAAAATTGGTAGTTGAAATGTTTCCAGCAAGTCTTTGTTTAGAAATTCCTTTATTCATCAGTATATTATCTTGGTCACTTACTTGCTAACTGCTGTCATTCCTGAAGATGAGCTATTGTGTTTACCGTGTTATTATGACTGTATTAAAAATGTGCCATTTTGTTATGATTATTGGGGTGTGTAAGAAAAATAAGAATCATAACTCATACTGAAAAACCTGCAAGAACAGACTATTCAGAATGATTTTGCTTATTTTAATGGTATATTTTCTGAGGCAATTTCAATAACTTGTGTGCATTTGTTTTTCATACAGGTATCATATCCACATTTCTTCATGTCCACCCTTTTGGAGCCAATATAGAATATCTTTGGTCTTATATGCAGCAGTTGGACTCTAGGGTAAAAAAATTTAATCAAAATCTGCTTTCTCTATAGAAATATTGTATTATTCTTTACTGCAGGTTAAACTCTTAGTGCACTTCCATTAGAAAGATAATGGGATATGGGGCTTGGGGGTTTGCGGTCTTTATTCATTCACAAATTACAGTGCACGTGTTTGTGCTGAGGTCTTTGCCTCACGCTGCTGAACTGTTCTCTATGGCAAAGAAGAGCAGAGCTTTAAATGGCAAAGTTTAGCAGCTGATTTTATGATACATGATCCTGAAATACGGCTGAGGAGAAAGAAACCAGAACAAGAGGCAGGTATAGCCACAGCCATCGAACTGTGCAGTTTTGGGAGACAATTCCTTATTCTTCTAAAAGTTAGGCATGGGTCATACTGAAGATGAACTTTCATGAATATGTGAATGGCCAATGAAACATACCCTTTGTCTCCACATGGAAGTGGAGAGGGCCTCATAAAGGAATTGACTGACCCTATTGCTAAACTCAGAAAAGGTTTAGTCACTTCAGAAGTGAGGCCAACACACTACACTGCAAAGTGGGTTTTAATGCATCAGTTCATGCAGTCCATAGTCAAAACATAGCTGTAGAATAAAATTCATTGACTTACTTTTAAATATCTACTGTAGAATGAGACTAAATCAACACCAAAAGGGCCTATTCCTCTCCACTGAATTTAAGCATGTCAAGGGTGAGAAGCTCAGCTGTGAAATAGCCACCTTTGATTAGGTGAATGCTATTCTAAGTGCTAAACAGCTCTGTGGGATGATAGATTGAAATACTTTGCAGATGCAGGGGTCACCCTGCGGTTAACCACAGCTCTGATCCGTATATACCAATACTTCCTATGGACATGGAGATGATGGTGTTTGCCCAGATCTTCTTGCAAGACGCAGTCAGAATGTAGCTATGATCTCAGAATGTGATCATAGACCATTAGTACAATTGTACACCTATCACTGCCAAGTCCATCAGCAAATCATGTCCCCACATCTACATGTCTTATAAGTTCCTCTAGGGATGGCGGTTCCACCGCTTCCCTGGATAGCCTGTTCAAATACTTGACAACTCTTCTGGGGAAGAAATTTTTCTTATATCGAATCTAAACCTCCCCTGGCACATCTTGAGGCAATTTCCTCTTGTCTTATTGCTTGTTATCTGGGAGAAGAGACCAACATCCACCTTGCTACAACCTCCTTCCAGGTAGCTGTGGAGAGTGATAAGGTCTCCCCTGAACTTCCTTTTCTTCAGGCTAAACAACCCCAGTTCCTTCAGCCGCTCCTCACATGACTTGTGTTCTAAACCCTTCACCACCTTCATTGCCCTCCTTGTGTATGTCTGTGGGCTCTGTCCTTGAATTTCTGCTCATGTGAGTAATGTGCTGGCTTCTGTGCCTTTTGTGTCTTCTGCGGCTGTCAGGATGAAACCCTTAACTTGCAAACACAGCCCTCCTGGAAGACGCATTGTCTCCATCTCACCATGGTGCCAGCATACCAGTCCCTGTAACTACCACTGGACCTAGCTGTTGCGTAATATACACGAGTCGCAAAATTTGACCTCGCTGGTTTATTTTGGAAGTAACTGCTTGTAGCAACAAATTGCTTTTTAACAGTGTAATCCATAGATGCAATAGCAGAGATGAATTTCAATTACTTTCCATGGTTAGCCTGTCATTCTTCACCTGAGGAGGAATGATAAGGTTAGCAAACCCATGTGGGCTGAGGGCTCAGTATAGAGCTCAGATACATTACCCAAAGGTAACTAGCTCTCCGTTACTGTCATGAGAATATGTACAAAATGGATCTGATTACTCTGGGGCTTTAGAATTTTTCCAAGACTGATTTTCAGTACCCACTAATATGAATAAGCAGAATTATCATTGACAGGGAAGCCTATCAAACCATGAAGATACCTATGGGTAACAGGCAGCACCCATAGATTTCTTTACTGATTTTTTCATGCCATTACTTTAGAAGAAGTAGCAGTAAGATAAAATTGTTCATTTTCGTAGAATCATGGAATGGTTTGGGTTAGAAGGGACCATGAAGACCTTAAATGGGCAGGGACACCTTCCACTAGAGAAGGTTGCTCAAAGCCATGCCCAACCTGGCTTTGAACACTGCCAGGGATGGGGCAGCCATGGTCCAGCTTCTCTGGACAACCTCATCCAGTACCTCACCACCCTCACAGTAAAGAAGTTCTTCCTTATATCTAATCTAAATTGACCCTCTTTCAGTTGAAGGCTATACCGCCTTGCCTTACCCTTACATGCCCAGGGCCAAAGTCCCTATACAGATTTCTTGTAGCCCCCCTTTAGGCACTGGAAGGCTGCTGAAAGGTTTCCCCAGAGCCTTCTCCAGGCTGAACAATCCTCATCTCAGCCTTTCTCCATAGGAGAGGTACTCCAGCCCTATGATCATCATTTTATGTGACTGTTCATTTCTTGACTTCACTACTGATTATACCAGAAAGGTTGCCTTTGTGAAAGTGTTTTCTGCAATGAGAACATCCTTGCAATTAGGAAGGTGACCAGCGATTAAGGTTTCAAAACCATAAAAACATCCTGAGTAATGCCAAGTCAAGTACTTTATGGCTTAGTTATCTAGAGCTGCTGAATGGTTCAAACTGGGGCAATATGGCTCCATGGATAGTCAGCCCTAAGTAACAAAAGTGAGCTGATTAAAAAATAAAGTCTGTGTGTCAGCTTTTTTGCAACAGAAGAACTGATGGAGCAGGAGGAGGATTCAAGAGCTCCTGGGATGAGAAAGAAGAATAAGGTCCCATTTGCTTCCTCCTTCTCACAAGTATATCCACAACTGTAGTTCTTAGATGGACTTGGTATCACATGGTGGGGCTGCAGCTGTCATTCTTTTACAGTCGGAAGCACTTACAAAAGTGGAAGCATTCCTGCAAGGAATCTGCACTTGCTTTGGAGTCTGGAAATTCCTGTCAGGCTAAGGTTAAAAAAAATATAACTGGTTGGTTGTTTTCATCTGGCCTGTATTTCCCCCCCTTTGTCCCTTTATCTCTGTTCTCCCTATTTCCTCTTTCCAATCTATAGAACAGTTTTCTCACTTTAATTTTACTTTTATTTCTTTCTCAGATCTCTGCAAATGAGATAGAAATGCTTTTGATGAGACTGCCACGCATGTTTAAACAAGAATTCACTGGTGTAGGAGCAACACTGGAAAAGAGGTGGAAGTTTTGTGCCTTTGAAGGAATTAAAACTATCTGACTTTGACTAGTAATGAAGCTATGCAGAAGAGAAATTCCTAGAGCATGGCAGGGTTATAAAGTATTAAAGTAAGAAATTTGGGTTTGGGCACATAGTAGTATGTTTTCAAAGTTATCCAAGCCTGATTTTAGTTACATTTGTGACGTTCTCTTGTGAGTGGAAATGTAGTTGTGCACCAGTTCCTAAAATAAAATAAAATTAAAAAAAAAAAGTTTCAAAATGTGACAGATCTGTTTCCTATGAAAACTAAAGAAAGATACCACAGTCATAATGATTTCAAAATACTACATGTCCTACATCTAAGAAAAGCTCATTGAGCAAACAGTTAAGGAGAAAGACTGCCCGGTTATGGTCGCTAAGCTACAGCGATGTATATGTAATATGTAGTAGAACTCATTAAGCTTTGTTATTGAAAGTTCTTTCTGTTTAGTAAGACAATGGAGTAATTTTGCAGTGAGGAAAAGCATACCAAAAGAAAACTTGAAGATGTGTCTGAAGTTATTGTATTTTGTAAATTAAGTTATATGCTGTACCAGGGATTTTTGCCTTATTGAAAGAGGCCTGAAAATGTGATTGGAGTCCTCAAGAATGCTTTATCAAGAATATTATTTTTCTAATGTAACTATTCTCCATTACAAGTTCTTTTAACATGGATTGCATATCAATTTTCATAAACATGTAAATAAGGAGGAAACCAGTGTTACTGTATTGTATTTGGTATGTAACATTCAGGTTTATGCATCAACATAAATATTCAGTTGCATTACTGTTACAAATTTTATAGCAGATATATTAATTTTTATCAATAAATATGACTTCTACCATATTGTTTGTACAAGTTTTTCTTCTGACGTTTTTAAGTTTCTGTCAATCCAGCAAAAGTCTTCTGGCACTTACCTTTCTCCTACCTAAGCTATTAATCGTGGATAATTTGGTTAAATTAATTAGGAGTCAAAAAAGAGCTTGCCATATTAGCTAAGATTAAAATAATTAAAAATATTGGCAGAGGAAGTAGCAGTATGGATCTTTGTGTACCTGAACAGATTTCATTTGTTTTTTCAGACAAGCAGCCAAATGAACACCTTCAGATTTCTCATTTTCACTGTTGTGCTGGGTAGTTGCGATGAATCCAATTAATTGCTCCTTCTAACTCCCAGCTAATTATTCTGGCCTTTGGCCAGCCAGGGAAAGGAATAACTCACTTTTGGTGATGTCCCTTAATGACATTAGTGTAAATTATCATTTAGGATTTACTGTCACACAGTACTCCAGCATTACTGTAAAAGCCAGCTGAAGAAGTTTGTGTATCAACCAAGCTGGGAGAGTATGGAAGCAATCACTCCTCCCAGAGCCCTGCTTTAAAGAACTGAATCAGTACAGCATTTAGCATGGTGCTGGATAAGAAACAGCAGCCTCCTCTGAGTCACACCTCTATGTAAGCAGCAGAGCCATCCACAAGGGAGCTGGCCCTATCAAGTGGGGCACCAATAGCAGGAAATATGGCAAATTGCAACAGATGCAGGCAGTATCCAGATACTTGTCAGAGTGATGTTTCACTCAGGTTCTTCAATAAACAGCAATTAGTGTCAAATGCAATTAGTCATGAAGGAACTCTCTTACATGACTGCTAGTGATTACTGCTTTAGGACCAATTTCTCTTCTGGCATCTACCTGGAATATAGAAATATTAAATGAAATGTTAATTGTGTGCAAAAGGCAAACAGGAAGAGGCTTGGTAGGTCTATTCTAGGAGAAAATTAAGCTTTCAGAACTTTTTTTAAAGAACATATATGTCTATTATGGTTGCTGCAGAACCTGTGCTAAGGTAAGTTACTTGAATGAAACTAGTAATTATATGCCAGTTATGTTAATGAAAATTAGTTTAATCCAAATAACTCCTTCTTCTCTTGTGATCATACAGATTTATGAATAATTCAGGCAAAAATGTGTTAGGCCTGACAGCTCTTATTTAAGTACTGCAACATAAATGTGTATGGATGGCACTTAAACTAGGGAAAAGAGATGTGAGAAAACTTTCACTTCAGCTTTCTTCATGCATACTTATTCATGATATCCTGTCCTCCCTTTTCTCATGTCCTCCTTTATCTTTTCTTTAGGTCATGTCCTCTTCCACAAAACAACTCCAATCATAGATGGCCACAAAACATCTTAAAACTGACAGGACCTTGTCACCTAATCACCATATTTTCTGTGCTTGTGTTTTCGTTTCCTCTTTTACTTCCTGAATTCTTCATGTCTGTCTAGACCATAAGTGCTTTAGGAAAGTGACATTTTAGTCCTTGTGTAGTGCAAGCTAAAAGGGAATCTCCTTTACTGGCCGTTAAAGACCGCCAGAGAAGATCTAAACAGCATGCAGGCATCCTGCAATATTGTAATGTTTCACGAGACCTTGAAACCCTGGGGGATCCTTATGAGTTCCAGGTTGGGCCCCAGAACTGGGTTTAACATTATGTTCTCAATTGCTTTGGGGGAAACTGAATTAAAATTCTCAGCTCTATCACTTAGCTGCTGAAATGTACTTCATCCCTTGGAGATCCTGAAGTGATAAAATGGGATGAATATCAAGGAAGCCACCTTTGAAAGACATCTAGACTGGACATGAGGAAGCATTTCTTTATTGAGAAGGTGGTCAGACACTGGGACAGGCTTCCTAGAGAGGTGGTCGATACCCCAAGCCTGTCTGTGTTTAAGAGGCATTTGGACAGTACCCCATTTGGACAATGCCCTTAATAAGATGCTCTAATTTTGTCAGCCCTTAAGTGGTTAGGCAGTTGGACTAAATGATCATTGTAGGTAGCTTCTAGCTAACATAGTTTGTAGCCAATTCTATCTCCTCCAGGTATGTTACTGATACATGGAGAAGACAGTGACGTTCTGCAAGCCAACACTAAATTCTGGCAAAGCATCCTTTAGCCAGCTTCTCTGAGCAGTGCTGTCAGGCAGTCTGATGCCCTCATAGCCCAGAAAGATGTACTCCATATGAAGTGTGCCACTGCAGGATGGCTGTATAACTGTGGAGCCCATGGCTGTGGGTGAGCGCTGTTGGGCATTGCAGCAAAGCAACTTGTGAAAATGCCATCAGGTGATGCCACTTAACTATGATAAAAGAAGTCACTGTAATGGAAAAGAAGACTAGTCCTTCTCCACATCACTTTATCCTGATGACTGGAACAGAGGCTTGGTCATCTGCATCAGAAGTCAGTATGCTCTCCCCCAGAAGAAGGAAGATATTGAGGTGACTAAGTGTACTTAATGAAATGAGGCAGTGCAAGACCTGAAGCAAATTTCTTCAAGCTGAGTCAGGTTGAAGGCAGATACTCATTTGGCAGAAACTCAAAACTAGTTAGCAGGATGCTCAAAACAGTAGTGGGAAAGAAAACAAGGGAAGGAAAGGCCAAAGGGACACTACATCATCAGGCTAACCATGAGCTCAAGAGGTAAGAATGTGCATAGTCTGGCGTGCAACTGCAAGTTGTGGCAGAAATCATGTCTGTGCCACCTCTTCTCAAACAGGGACTACTGGAACAGGAGAAGATTTGGTTTCTAACTGCCCAAACATGCTCAGGGTAATTTGCAGAGATTTGTAAGCTCAGTTGGCCTGAACTCCTGTTCTCCCAGGAGAGCTTTTGAACTCATCATCAGCATTGAATTGTCTTGGAGCTGTGGTAGGGTTGACTTTTATCAGTTTAGAGGGCAAGCCTCTTACTGCACTGTATTTGATTACCACTTGAAGGCCTAAGAGATACAATGTGCAAAACCTCTTGGAGAAATGCGAATTACACCCTGCACTTTTGAGGGAGATGAGTGTAACCTTTCTGTTAAATTGCATTTTATGCCCACAAGAGACAGCAATGTTTGATGAAGACTGCATTATTCCCATTACTAAAAAGGAAATTTCTAATATTTTCCCATCCTATTGCACACAGTGGAGTCTTAATTGTTTATTGAAGTGTGCATATTTCAGGCAAAACTTGCACATTCACAACTGCCAGAGCATCACATTCACTTAAGGAATCACTATACTGAGATTTAGAGGAAACCCAGTACCAAGCTATGCTACATTTAGCTACACATCATATAGAGTAAATGCTATGGAATCTAAAGCTAAGAAATTTGCTTTGAGAGCATTCTGGGTGGCTTGTTTAAGTAAAAATTTTGGTCTTGCAAGCACTATTTTACTTAAAATCATAATGGCTCTTACTGTCAGTGTTAGTATGACAAAAACGTTCTGCACTAATGTGAGCTGATTTAGGGAACAAGGCTTGGGGAGATGAAGAAGGAAAAGAAGTGGAGAGATACGTTCTTTTTGTGCTTGTAGTACCAGGCTGGTACCTAATACAGGACTGATGTCCACTTTGTCCACACAACAAAAACATCTCAGAGTTCAGCATCTCCTGTCAAAGGGTACAAGTTGTGCCTTGACTTGTCACTCTGGTTACCCTGGAAAGATCTGCAGCTGTTTTACCCTAACTTTTCTGCAAAACAAAAGTAGAAACAGCAGCAAATTCCTTCTGGATCTGTTCTGTAGTCAATATCCTTTGGAAGCAACTGCTGAGATGCTCAGGAAAAAAGAAATCTTCCTACGTTAATCAGCATTAAGTGCCCATAAAGCCGGATGCAACACTGAAGAAGCCATTCTTTCTTCAGACTCTCTGAGACCACAGTCATTGAGACTACTTGGACTGCAAGGGGTGAATATTTGCTTACTCATTTAAAACTGTTTCAAAACCAAGTCAGTGGAAAAAGCAGCCAAATCAGGAAATAATGCTTACAAGGTGCAGAACTCCAGACTACATAAACTCATTACATTGAATACTTGGAAATCCTAATTCATAAACAAAATCAAATGGATACACTCAGGAGTACCTCTGATTAAGTGTTTTGCCTCACACTGAGTAATAAACATTGTGACTATTCAGACTTAATGGTCTGACTCCAATGTCATACTCCCTCTCAATGGGGATATTTGGGGGGCAGGAAGAGGAAAAAAATATGTATTCCTTCAAACCCAGCAGAGAGCATTCCTGCAATCCTACCACAGCCATATTATAAGCATTTGCTCAGATTTCTGGCTGGTAGATACTTCTTGACAATTTTTGCACTTTTATATACATATATTGAAGCCTAAAAAAACCCATCCACTTGGACTGCTCATATCTTAGCCATGTCACAGTTAGTTCTGTAGTGATCCCAATAGCATATGGTGGATTAAAATACACCTCCCATAAAAGCATCCAACCGTAATCAAGGTTATCAAGTGATGGAAATGATTTTTTTTTTTTTCTCCATAGTTTGTTAGAAGAGATTATTACTGTCAAAATTGTGTCCTTACTTCCTAACTTCTTTTTTTTTTTTTTTTTCTGGCTGCTTCTAGCCAGTTTTGCTTTTCTCTGCAAGATTAAATAATCCTTTAGTACTGCATATTTTCTCCCCATGAAGTTACTTATATTTTGTAATCTATTTACTTCTCAGTATTCTTCCTCATAAACTAAACAGATTGAGCTTTTAAGTGTTTTGCTATAAAGCATTTATCTTCTCTTTCTCAAATCATTGCATCCTGGTTTTTAATATCCTTTCCAATTTTTCAACACCTGTTTCAAAATGTGCAGAAAAAAGCTGTTACATGAATTAGTCTGATCAATGCTGTATACAGACACGAAGTCTCAGCTCTGCTCTTGATTCCTTTCAGACTATTAGCTAACCACACATGTCAAAGCAGTAGTCCAAGTTAATCACTTAGGTCATTTTCTTCACCCTTCTGGTATAACAGATTCCTCTGCATAGAACTGTTTCTGTATGCTAAAGCCTGGCTTTTACAACCCCGCTGATAGGCTTGTTTGTGCAAGGGCAAAGGTCTCACCCCATGAGGGTCTTCAGGACCTTGGATCCCATGCACAGCCTTCAGAGTTTGTTCTTTACTACCAGGAAAGTCTGGATAATTCTGCAATGTTTATAGCCTTGCACGATTAAAATGGGGTAATCATATCTGTTGTCGGGATGTTAGCTGATCGCATCAAGCATTCAGGGGGCAAACGCACAGGCTTTGTCTAGACTACGGTTTAAATACGTGTCATTAGCACATATTAGATGATACATTTTAAAAGTCTGATGCAGACAAAGCATAATGCTTTTAATGGGAAAAGCTGGCTGAGTTAGGCCCTTGGGCATTGACGTTGACACTGGTTTGTCTATTTTAGAGGTTTAGAGTAAGTTAGCCAAGGGCTTGTCTGCAAAGACTCTAAGACCAGAATAATTCATTCTCAAGTAGTTGCTCTGAAGTAGCTCTATATAGTAGTTTCATACACTTAACTAGGTAAGTTTTATCTCTTTTATATTTTTGGGGGGGGTTGTTTGTTTTGTTTTTTACCTTCCTCTCTCACCGTATGAGATGTATTATATTAAAAAATTAACCCTCTGGTACATTTCTCTCTCCATCACTGCTCCTTGCTGAATACAGCTGATTAGCCTGCTCATGTCTCGGGAGGAGGTTGGAAAACTTGTATACTCCACAGATGTGGTTGCTGACATTAAAAATTAACTTGCATTTCACAGAGGGGAGACATGGAACTCTTGTGAGAGGAATGGGAGTGGAGCAACAGAAAACCATGAAATAGGATTAAAAATAGACTGGAGGGATTTTGTTAGAACCTGGCGTTCCATCGAAAAGCCACTCAAATCCCAAGACATCCCACAATCCTGTTTTAAACTAAGAGGGGGAACAGGGAAGAAAAGAGATGAGATTTCAGAGCAAAAGTAATTATAAAGTACGGTGGTATTGAATGCATGAGAGTTTTTGAGTTTTCTTACCTGGTTCTACACATGGAGTCAGCTCGAGCAGGTGTTGTGTCTGAGTCTCTGTAAAGGGGAACCTTCCAAAATCAGGCTGCAGTTGGCTCTGTCCCAGAAATGATACTTGAATAATACTAGCTACTCAAATAATAAAAACTTCCAAAGGCAGAGATGCCTCCCTGCAAGAAAAATCTGTATCTCTACCTCTACAGTTCATTGGTTGATAAAAAATGGTTAGTAAATGTTAGCAAAATGATTTTTCTTCTCCTTGAAGGCTAACGAGGACATACATCATTCATAGAAAGCAAGTATTCGCCGGGCAGTCAAAAGTTATTTCAGTATGTCATTTCCACCCCTCTGCTCTGACTGACTGTCACCTAGTTAGTATTTCTCACTTGGTTAGATGGAGAAAAAAAAAGCTGAAGATTCATCAGAGTGGAATCTACACTTTGTCTTCAGAAGATGAACATCCATAGATAAACACCATGCCTCCAGTCCAAGGCTGATTTGTCTAATAAAGAACTGCAAGTCAGGAACTGTTTTGCAGGATGATACTGGAAGCTCATTGTGTACAACAAAACATATAAACAAAGAAGGAAGCCAGAGGGTGGCTCAACAGCACAAGTTTTCTAAAACACATTTCCTACCCTGAGAGGTTCTTGATTGACAGCTCTGGAAACAGGCACTTTATTTGTGCACAGGGCAGGACAGGGAAGGCATTTAAAATTGACCTGGCAGAGATTTACAGAAATCACCTGCCATATCTTTTCCATCCCTATGAAGTCCTTGACTCATCTGTGCAAACTGCAGGGGAAGGAGACATCTCCAGAGGCCACAGAACTCCTGCTTCATTTCAGGGCTGGATTTTAATCTTTCATCTATAAAATGAATTCCTACTGTCTCAGTAGAAAATTATTCAGTGACTGAGGGTGGAAGGCATACACTGGTGACCCCATTCTTCCCCCCCAGCCTTCATGATGAAAGAGAAGACTTGGAAGTACGTAGCTGGCAAAGAGGTTCATCCTATTAGAGACAGAGAAAAGGAGCTCATATTATGTTCACACAGAATGTTTTGAGATGATTTTTAACTCTAAAGAAAACCCTCTGTAGTTTATAGCTGTGAGATGCTCTAAAACAAAGGTTAGTATGGGGAAATGGAACAGCAATGAAAAAAAAAGTATTATCTTTTATGAGCACTTCTCTACTTTTCCTCCTCTAAGACACTTCAGTGTGGCGGCTGAAATCCCTACTGTTTCAAAGGTTTACAGTCAAGAGCAGGGCTAACATTGAATTTACAGCCTTTCTTTGATTTTTGTGGTCCATGAAGTTCAAATGTCTGAAGAAAAACAAGGAGGTGCATGCCCAGGTGAAATGGAACTGGGCAGTTGCTCATGCAACAGCTCTGCAGTGCAGAGCTTTTTATTTACAGCAGTAAAATATGGGCAGATGGTCGAGAGTTCAGTGACATATATTGGTCATGCAACCAGC